CCTGCTGGCACCCTGATCTCATACTTCCAACCTTCAACCCCAAACTATGAAAACTAAATATTTGTTGTCTAAGAAAAAAACAACAACAACAACAAAAATGCTAAATGACTGGAACAGAGGTTGACACACAGTATGGATTGACTTAAAAGTACAGTACTATGCCCTAGCTGGTTTGGCTCAGTGGATAAAGCGTCAGCCTGCGGACTGAAGGGTCCCGAGTTTGATTTTGACCAAGGGCACATGCCCAGGTTGTAGGCTCGATCCCCAGTAGGGGACATTTATGAGGCAGCCAATCAATGATCCTCTCCCATCATTGATGTTTCTAGCTCTCTCTCCCTCGCCCTTCCTTTCTGAAATCAATAAAAATATATAAAAATAATAATAACAAAGTAAAATTGTTTAAAAAAAGTTAAATTCTATTATTTTTCAATCACAAGTTGTTATATAAGAAATATTTGCATGTCATCTATATGCCAAGCACTTTGGTAGGTACTTTAAGAGATGTAGAGACAAACATCACTGCTCCCCCAGGGTGCCTAAATCAGCAGATTATTAAGCAGGGCCTTGGTGGCATAAAAATGGTGCTGAAACCACTTCAAGAACTTAACTTAAATCTTACATTGAGATGATAAGACTATATAAATCAACTTAGAAGAGTAATCCAAAACATAGGTTATTTTGGGGGGGAAAGACTTATGTGGGAAACAAGTTATACAATTTTCTCTCTTGTAGTTCTTCCCTATACATGGTAAAGTCCCAACAGGAGAACCAGATATTTCTCAAACTTATACAACCATGAAATCTTTTTGTCAAGAAGCATTTCAGAGATTCCCAGTACAGTGGAATGAGCTTTCGGGAAACCTGGTGTAGACTACCCTGATAGAGAGCACAGAGGAAGAAGAACAGCTGAAAGATCATGGAAAAATCACCCTAAAAGAATAAGTCAAATGTCCCAAGGAAGTCCTCAACCAAGAGAGCCCGAGGATCACTCTAAACTCAAGCTGCTTAATCATAAGGAGATCTGCGCAGAGAAAAGGAATGAGAAATAACACATAACCAGTACCATTGGGTGTACCCTGTGCCGAACAATCCTAGAAGGACATTATCATCAGCAGCATGAGTATAACTATACAGATGTGAAAACTAAGTCCCAGAGAAGTTGATTCATTTTTTAACATCACAGTGCAAGGAGCTGAACTGAGCCCTGACTCAAAGACCTGAGTACTTTCACATTCTCATCATGCATAAAATAAAATCACAGCTTTACAGTCACACAACCTGTACAACAGCCGTGATGGTGGTTTTCAAACCTTGCTCCTAAGCAAGCTCTCAGAAATAACTCTTTGTTTGTACCATGAAAGATTTAGTTTTATCATATGCTTTGGAAGGGCAGATCTGAAGTATGTTTCTACCCAGTAGTCATGAACGCATGCAATGGCTACCACAGGCAAAACTTCTCAAATAAGTGAAAACCTGTAAAGGTAGGCGGTAACTTTTTAAAATTAAAGTTAGTAACATAGAATTATCTAAAAGTGAAAAATGAACCAGATGATGCCCAGGATCATGAAGTGATCATAAATTCTCAAGGCACAGTTTGCTAAAGAAAGGGCACACTTGGACAAAATTAAAGAATTTTGCTGTGGCTATTTATCAATGACACGAAATAGTGAACCCACAGGGAATATTCAATGCGGGAAGCCGCCGCTTGCCAATACTGTCATGAGAGTGCACCAAGGAACGCGGAAGGCCGGTGGACCGTGAGCGTTAGAAGGGCTGACACTAAGCACCGATTGTTGGTGTTGAGAAAGTGGTGGCTCGAAGCAATTTCCTGACCTGATAGCCTCCAAGTAAATGTTTACTGGACCTTACTGATCTTTACTGATCTTTATTTATCTTTACTGATCTTTACTGTCTGCTACTTGTTTGACGTGCTTTACTGAGGGCAAGATGTGTATCTAAAACTGAATAAAAGCAGACGGGACCCAGTTTTGGTGTGCTCTTTAAGAAAGAGGCTCCACCTGGCCCCCAATGCCTTCTAAATTCATATTTCTTGTATAGTACTTTCATTTGTGTGTCAGCCCCTCCTTCAGATCCTGAACCCTGCCACAAAGGTCGTGGCAGTTCAACCTGCCACCACTCTCCTACCAGAGATTTTAACAGAAAAGTCAGCCAAGTGCATTGACTTTGTGTACAAAAAATATAAACATAAGACTCCTGAAATGGATTCATTCACATAATCAACAAACCTGTTTTTGATAAGGGGAATCTGTATGTTAGTTGCTACACATCTTGAAAATCTGTTCCCAAGACCAAGCCCTGTGTCCTCTCTATAGTACAGCACTCCGCAACCGCAGGCATGTGATTAGGAACTCCATACTCTCCCACTTACAAGACTTGGGACTCTGGGCTAAAAATGTCAACCTCCAACCAAATTATTGTAGGTGGTAAGAATCCCTTTTGGAGGTCGGAGAATTGAACAATTAAGGTTCTCTGAATTTAGGCTCTCTGTTTATTGGATCATGTTATTTCTTTAAACTCTCTGAAAACATTCCAAAAAATTAAATGTGATACATATCAATTCTTATATTTGGTCTCATAATTAATCACTTTTCCCTTATCCTTTACCCATGAAATCTTTCTTATTCTAGAAGGGCATGTGAAGAAGTCCTGAAACACGCTAGCTTGGCCATGAGCTGTAAGTGGAGAAAGAAACTGTAACAGGCAATTGGAGGCTGCCAATGGAAATCACATACTAAGAAATGAACATCACCACAGGAGTCCTCCCACCCATTCACTGCCTTCCACAAGTCCTGTGCCTTCATTGCCCATGAGGACGGCCAGGCCAGGTTACCGTCAGTTTTATGTGCAGCTTCTGTGCGGACTGGTTGGTGTTGCTGTCAATCTAGTTACTGTATTTTCAACATCTCCCAGAGAACAGGGGTTAATGAAAGCATAAAGGAGCCAGGCCAGTGAAATGGCCAAGCAGGACAGTGGCAAACCAGAAAACAAGTGTACCAGTTGAAGTGGATACCTGCTACTCAACCCCTGCAGGTTGAAGACATACAGGAAAATAAGCCCAGGGTTGACACATTTTCCTTTAAAACAAACAAACAAAAAAAAAACCAGCTAGAAATCCCTGCATATTTTAAAATATTTATTCCTAATTCAATCTTTAAAATGTTGTTTGCCAACAAAAACTAGAATACAAGTTGCCAGTTTCCTGTTGAGGGTTATCTGTGACTGCTAAAACAGTTCTGGACTACAGTTAACTGTACAGACTGGGCACCAGGCTCTGCCCTGGTGGCAGTGGTATGCCATGGCAATTAAGTATAAATCACAGGTATATGATTTCAGCAACTAGTTATAAATCACAAATATGGGACAAAAATATTCTTTGTAGTTTACTGGAAATAGCATTTAAAGAGCAGATAATTCTTTCAGAGATACTTAACACTTAAGATACAATTAGAAACATGTTTTTAACCTTTACTCTTGCCAGTCATACCTTGTTCTGATTTTATCTTAAATAGAGATCACAATTCCAATATACTTTTTTCTTTTCCATTTACTCTTCTCTTCCCCTTCTCCAAACTTCCCTTCATTTGAGATGGAAGATTATAGAACTTTTATGGAGATGACACAAACTAATGTATGTAATGTCTAAAACAATGACCAGCACAAAGTAAAAACTCAAAAATTTTAAGCGCCAGCTATATCTATGAATATTATTTAGTAGTCAAAGTCCTCAACAGGGCTGGTCTACAGCCTGTGGAAAGCTAGTGTTAACTCTTAAAACCAAGTTGCTACATAAAATGTCTGCTCACAGAACCGCTCTGTACCTACTCGAGTTAGCAACCTGTTTCTTAAATTAATCCCAGTTCAGCTCCTCTGAGACAGCTGAGAATCTTTTGCACATCAGAACACAGATAAAGAAAGAGAGGTCTCTGTAGAGCATTTTGCAACAAAGGAGGTAAGGGCCTCCACCTCTTTTTCCCTTAGGAGACCGAGGTACTTTTCCACGTTTTTGTTTCTTTGTGAAATAGACTCATTCCCTCTTCCGAACTACTTAGACCCAGCTGGATGAGGGTGGCATGAATTTATATACCATATGACTTAATGATCTTTTTGCTACTTGCAATGGCTTCATGTATATTCTAACACGTTGTCTCAGTTATTGTAAAAATGCATTATCACTTACTGAAAAGGACAATATATGATCCACTATGCTATTGAATTAGCGAGTAATCAGTTAACACTAAACAGCAAGTTTTATTTAAAGTTTGCTACTGTCCTCTCCTGAGGGACGGAGTCCACCCAGTCATCAGTGAGCTAGAATCGGTGCCTGATTCGATATTCACTTACTTGAAATTAAGACTCTGAAACTTCCTGTTACAGGCACAGCAAGCAAACACCAAAAATAAGGGGCTGACAATTAGATGGTGGAGGAAATGATGCCTCAGTCTTTCTGAGCTTCGCCAAAGAGGATCAAGTCAGCCACTTCCAAGCACTCCCTGGGGATACACAACTCAACACAACTCTTCCTCCTACTAGGCTCACTTCCTTAATGCCTTAATCTGCATGACATCATATCGCAGGCATGTGCTAACAGGCAGACAAATACAAACACATGAATGGAAGTAAGCCAAACAAAATAATTTACACTGTGCCTACAAAAAATAACTAAATACTTCTTATAAACAGCAAAAGGCTAAATACTCCATCATCTTTCCTGCTTTACAAATAAACCCATCATTTTTCCTGATCAAATTCTTTTCCCATGCTAATGCCTTTGTGGTATTTTTTAAAAATAAGAATTGAATTATATTAAAAACAGAGTCCAAAGCTTTCATCCCCAGGACAGACGCAGTGCCCACTGGCAAGTGCAAGCTCCAGGTGCTGTCCAGGTAAATATGCCTTCAAAAGGGAAATGTTTACTTCAGCACATGAGGAAACTAAGAATCAGCCTCAGTAATCAGTTCAATAGAATCAAAGAGACATACCTGTAGGTTTTCAATTTCTTCTTTGTGCTCCCTCTTCAAGTGTAAAATAGCAGCTTGGTATTCTGCAAGATCACAAAAGAAGCCAATTACAAAGAAGCACAAAATGATATACAAAATTCCAAGTGAGCATCTCCAAGATTCTAGAGGTGCTTCTACAAGTAAACGGACCGAATAATAAAAAAAAACACAAAAAAACCTGAGTAAATAAATGCACAATTGGATATTCACTTGACAAGAGATGTTGCAAACTGAGACAAGACAAGACAAGGAGCTCAGGATAAAAGGAAGATTTCCTTCCATTTAGCAAACTTTGAATTATCATAAGCTCCAAATTAGGCAGATAGGATAGGGTTAAAAAAAAAAAAAGCTTGATGAGTGTTCCAGATAAAGACTGGGTCAGGGTTTGTCTTTAAGGAGGAGTTGGAAGCTAAGGCCCCACAGAGAACAAATACAGATGTGTTAAGAACAGACACACAGGAAATAAGACTTTCTATGTGAGATCAGAGAATTCAATTTTTAACTCCCCCATTCACCTCCCCCCCCCAAAAAAAATCTCCATTTGAATGCAAGGCTAAGCAAGCACCCAGGGCTGATTTTAATCTTTAGATCAACTTCATAAAGTCAAGACCATTTGTCATTTGGGTGAGAGAATAGAATGTAGGTTAAGTTGAAGTTGAAAGGGGGACAAAAATAAAATCCTGGTCCAATTTTAGTCTGAGTCTAATAATGTTTATTCCAACAATAAGTCCCAAGTGTACACAGGAACTGCAGCCAACCACTAAAACGACCATTCCCTGGCTAAGCATGAAGCAGCTATGACAACTTGATTCCCAGCAATACAGCTAAGTATGTGGGGTCACAGAACTATGCAGGCTGCAGAGAACCACAGAGCAAAATGCTGTGAGAAAATGTTTTTGTGGCATAAGCCAGTTTTTTACAAATGGGTCTGGGTTGTGAGTATGAATAAGAAAAATGTCAGTTAGATGTCATTTTAAGATGTATGAAAAGACAGGCTATTTCGTCACGTGAATTTCAGAATGAAAGGCTAGGTTTCAGTTCAAAAGTGGATGTGGAAATCTTTGGTAAAGCCATAATGGAGAGGAGTGTTGCTGTTGATAATTATGACTAGTCATACCGCTGCTCTTGTGGTCCACTGAGCTGGGAATCCATCAGCAAATTTGAAGGTTTCTACATCCATACCATGCCTTGAATCAAACCACTTCTACCATCCCACAACCACCACTATGGTCCAAGCCACCAGCATCTTTTCCCTGGACCACTGAAGTAACCTGAAAAGGTTACTGCTCTCTCTTACCACCACCAAAACCCATTCTCCTCACAGCAGCCTGAACGATCTGTTAAAGGAACAAACCAGATTATCACCCATCTCTGGGTTTCTGCTGCACACAGACTGAAATCAAAACTCCCTCCTACAGGCCATAAGGCCCTTTGGAACCTGATTCCTACATACCTCTTCCTGTCTTCCTTGCTCACCACACTTCAGGCACACTGGCCTTCTTACTATTCCTTGAACTTATCAACTTCTTTTCTACCTCAAAATCTTTACTAATATTTGGGACAATAATAATGAATTATATTTATTGAGCACTTACAATGTACCAGGTGTTACCTAAGCACTTCACATGCATTAACTCATTTCATCCCCACAATAATCCTATGTTGTGGGTACATTTTCCTCATTGAAAAGGAAGAAACTAGTAAATTACAGAGTCCGAAGACATACATAATTCAACGAGTGAATGTATAAACAAGCTGTGATATATCGATAGAATGGAATACCACTCAGCAACAATAAGGAATGAACTATGAATACATACATCAACATAGATGAATCTCAAAGGCATTATGTAGAGTGAAGGAAGTCAGTCTCAGAAGGCTAACAATTGTTTAATTCAATTTATATGACATTCTGGATGAGACAAAACCATAGGGATGAAGAATATTAGAGAAGAAGTGGCTAGAGGTTAGAGATGAGGGAAGGTTTGACTACAAAGAGTCAGCACAGCACAGCCAGTGTGGCTCAGTGGTTGAGCATCAACCCATGAACCAGGCAGGAGGTCACAGTTTGATTCCCGGTCAGAGCACAAGCCTGGGTTGTGGGTTTGATCCCCAGCAGGGGTTGTGCAGGAGGCAGCCAATCGATGATTCTCTCATATCATTGATGTCTCTCTCTCTCTCTCTCTCTCTTCCTTCCTCTCTCTAAAATCAATAAATATATATCAAATATTCTTTTAAAAATAAAGAGTCAGCCCGGTTGGTGTGGTTCAGTGGTTGAGCAACAACCTATGAACCAGGAGGTCACGGTTCAATTCCCGATCGAGGCACATGCCCAGGTGCCCAGGTTGCGGGCTCGATCCCCAGTGTAGGGCGTGTAGGAGGCAGCCAATAGACGATTCTCTCTCATCGTTGATGTTTCTCTCTCTCTCTCCCTCTCCTTTTCTCTCTAAAATCAATAAAAATATATCTACATATATATAAAAGCCTAATATGCAAATTGTCCCCTCGGGAGTTCGACCAGGAGACTGGGAGTCTGGGAGTTCAATCGCTCGTTATGATGTGCACTGACAACCAGTGGGGCGGTGTGGAATGAAGGAAGGCTCTGGCCGGCAGCCAGAAGGAAGGTCGCGGCCGGCAGCTGGAAGGCTCTGATAGGCCCTGATCAGCCCTGATCGCTGGTCAGGCCTAGGGACCCTACCCATGCAAGAATTTCATGCACTGGGCCTCTAGTGTGTGTGTATGTGTGTGTGTGTGTGTGTGTGTGTGTGTGTATATATATCAGCACAAAAAACGCAGTTTGGGTGATATGGCTATTTTCTATCCTGACTCTGATGGTGGTTACATGAATCTATACATGGGTTAAAAATTAGAGAACTGGTCAAGGGCATGTAAAAAAAAAAATTAGAGAACTGTAGACCAAAAAGAAAAAAAGTGAATTCTATAGTATATTAATTTTTTAAATCTATATCAAATATTACACTTTTAAATATTTTTCCTAGGAGATTCAGCATAACACAAAAATGCATGTTACTACCACTTCTAATCTTTGTTTTCCTAAGGGAACTATCAGGTGCAGTAGGGCAAGAAAAAAAAAACATGCTCATGCACACATGGCATACACATGTTTATGTATGTACATATATAGAAAGGGGAAAATAAAGCTATTATTCACTATGATTGTATATTTAGAAAATTCCAGGATTCTCTAGAATATTAGATTTAATATGTGAGTTTAGTAGGGTTGCTTGATTTAAAATCCGTACATAAAAATTCTGATACCAGCAAGAGTATAAAAAATAAAACTTAAGATAACACTTACAGTGCCCCTGCTTAGTACAACGTACTTAGAAATAACCTTAACAAAAATATGTAAGACCTCATGAGAAACCAGAAATGCTATGTTGAAATATATTACAAATGAAAATATAGACAGGTAGTGGGCAAGCCATATTTTGGTAAAACTCGATATTGTAAAGATGTTGATTTTCTCAAATTGATCTATGGATTCAGTGCAATCCCATTCAACATTTCCAATAGTTTTTGTTTTGTTTGAAATTGAGGAGCTCAATCTAAATATTGGTTGAAGCACAGAAGTGCAAAAAAAGCAATGAGCAAAAAAAAAACCTTGAAAAAATAAAAGGTAAGATGAATTATTTTTAATTATCACCACATAATTAAAGTGGTGTGATACTGGCACAGGGATAACAAATAGACTAAAAGAATAAACTAGAGAGCCCAGACATAGACCACGAATCTATGGTCACTTGGTATATGACAGAATTGCATGGGAGATATTTGTTTACAGTAAGAATTGTCTTTTCATTAACTATCAATTGGGAAAAATAAATATTTACATGGGAAAACATAAAACTGGACTCCAAATTTATACCATATAATAATCTACTCTAAGTTGATTAAGAGCAAAATTATAAAAAACAAAGCCATCATTGTTTTATAAGAAAATATAACATAATTTTTTGAAACCTCAGGCTAGAGAAGAATTTGATTCAAACTGCATTACATATTTTAAAAATAATAATAAATTTCACTACATTAAAATTAAGAACTTCTTTTAATAAAAATACACCATAAGAGAAAGAAAAGGCAAGCCACAGAGAAGGAGAATATACTTGAAACAAATAATACTATAAATATATATGTATATATATATATATATATATATATATATATACACATATATATAATATCAATAATTCCTACAAAATTATAGAAAATGAAAAATAGGTAAAAAATGTCAATAGGTGCTCTAAAAAGAGGACATACAGATAATGTATAAATAAATTAAAAGGTGCTTATTCTCATTAGAAATATTTAAGGCCAAAACTGAGTGTCGGTGAAGATGTGGAGCAATGGGAACTCTCATACACAAGTGTCAGGAGTGCAAATTGGTACAATCCCTATGGAAAATGCTGGGCTTTTTTTTTAATAAAGTGGAAAATACGCCTACTCCCTACCCAACAATCCTAATCCTAGGTACACATAAATGAAAAGCAACTAGAAAAGAAAAGAAAATAATATTAACAAAAGTCAGGAAAAGTGGTACCCAGGAGAAGAGAAATTGAGTTAGGTCATGATAGATTGAGCAAGGTGGTGTCACATAGGCATTCGACGAAAAGTTATTTTTTTAACCTCTGTGTTTTATGCCATTTTCATGTATACTTTAACATTACAATATAAGAAATAAGATTGCTCTGGTTATTATCATCTACATTAATAAAACAGAAACGTGCAAATTAACCATCACTCCGTCATTCCGCCATTCCGCTATACCCACCAGCCAATCTGAGCTACTGTAAATTAACCCAACAAAGATGGCGGTTAATTTGCATACTCAGGCGTGGAGCGAAGACTGAAGATGGCGGTGGCCATGGAGCTGGAGCAAGCAGGAGGCTTGGGTTGCTCCTGGCGACGGAGGAAGCCAAGCTTCCTGTAGGCCCTGGACTCTGCTCAAGGAGTGGCTGGAGGCCTGGGCTCTGGTCAAGGAGGGGCTGGGGGCCTGGGTCGCTGGGGGCGACCCAGGCTT